TTTTAATAATTAAATTTATTTAATTTAATTATTTATTATTTAATTATTTAATTTATTATATTCTTATTGAACAAATTAAAATTATGACTTTTATATATAATATATAATTTTAACATGTAATTTCTATATGTAACTTGTACATATAATTTTACATGTGATTTATTATTTATTATTTATTATTATTATTTTATAATTTTATAATTTTTATAATTTTTATAATTTTCATAATCTGCATGATTTGTATAATTTGTATAAATATAAATTGTAAAGATAACAGAGATAGCAGAGTTATCAAATATGTCAATATTATTTACTATATTATATTTATCTAATATATATAATATATTTTATATTATAATAATTTAATTATAAAAATATTAGATATAAATATAACTGGTCTTGTAGCTATAAAAAAGTAAGTTATAGTAATTAATTCAATTAATAACTTAAATAAAATATTTTTAATAAAATATCTATTATTTGATTATCTTTATTATTAATATACAAAATTTAATTAAATAATATATTATTATAATAATAATATTTATTATGCACTACTGAATATTCAATCAAATTACTATAAAATATCAGTACTATATTATTATAAGACTATTTATATACTAAGTAAATACAAAGAAAATATTTATTAGTAGTAATAATATCTATTTTATTTATTAAAATAAAAGAAGACATATTGCATATTGATCCTAAAGTAATTGGATCAAAATCAATAATTAAAAATACAAATAGATGATTAATTAAAGTTATAATTAATAATAACATTAAAAAGAGTTCTAAAAATCAAATCGTGACAACATCAACTTGTTATTATAGATATTTAATTGGATTAAGATTTGAGAATTGGAGTGATTAATTCATAATATTAATATTATTATCAATAAATCATTATTTCATTGAATTCACTGTATGCTTAAAATTATTATTCTATTAAAAAATAATATTATTAATATCTAAATCATATTATTCTAATATCTGCATTAATTTATCAGACAAAATTTCTTGATATAATTCTTTATTCATTATCTCATTAATTTAATATAGAAATTCAATATCATGTGAATAGAAACAATCTCATACTATAATTTTCTTACTTCAAAAATTTAATATATAAGCTTTTTAGTAATTCATCTGATTACTTTCAGTAATATTGGATACCATCTAATTTAGAGATAGTATAGCAAGTATATAATATTTATTTATTATCTGTTGCAATATATTGTAACTAAATAATACTTTATTTATTATTATATATAACAGTTACTACATTATCTTTAGTCTGATTCAAAAACTTTGAATTTGAACTTATTAAATCAAATTATTTTGAATTAGTCTTCAATGATCCAATCAACATGATTTTTTATGAATATTAGCTGGTATTTTTTATGATTATTATTCAAATAGAGCTTCTTTTTTTTATTTTTATTATCAATTTATAATTTTAAAATATATAACAAATTGTAGATATTGAAACATTAATATTATAATTTATCTGAAGATTTTTTTACTTTAATAACAGTTAAATATTTATGAAAAATAATTAGATTAACAATTTTTCTTTGTATTAATTTACTTAAAACAAATAGATAACTGGAAATACTTGTATTATTAAAAGAATAATTTTTTTATCACTTTTTATTAATACAGAAGATAGTGAAATTACTAATATTACAGACTCTAGTTATCTCTTATGTGAAGTAATCTTTTTAGAGAAAGAGAATTATTTGAACTTGTTTATTTGAAGTTGTATTATTTTTTTCTCATTAAATAATTGCAATATAAAATATAAAGAAATATATAATTAATTAAAAATAAAATTCTTATAATTTTTGTATAGTTATAAATAATGATCTGTTGCTTTATCAAAATAATACAACACTAATTTTTTTAAAAATATTATAATATTTTAATATTGAAATTAATAAAATTAGAATTTAAATTATTAAATAAATTCTATTAATATATTTATTAATTAAAAATAAATTTTATTATAAATTTATCTAAATAAATATATTTAAAACATTTAGTTCAAGTGTTATATTTTTTTATTATTATTATATAATTTATATAGATTATATTATTATTAATTTATAATCTATAAATAAAAATATTCACAAAATAAATAATAATTGTGATTATACAAAAAGTTAAAATATATATTTTTTTATAATATAAATTTAACTAAAATGATTATATTAGTATATAAGTAAGTTACAAAAAAGATAAATACAAAAAACAAAAAAAATTAACAAAATAAAACAATTAATATTCTGATTTATTTATAAATAATTTATAAAACAAAATGATTATTTAAAATAATCATTTGAAATAATTATTTTTGCAAAATATCAAATTTTAATAATAATCTTTTTTTAATTATAATAATTCTTTAATAAATATATAATATTTTTTAATGATATTCAAAATAAAATAAAAGTCTTTAAATAAAAATAATCTTGAAAAATCAATTTTAATAATATCAATAATAATTAAATAAAATTTTTAATTAATTAGTTTATTTATCAATTCCAAAAATAAATATTCAGAATAATACAAATCAATAAGAAAACATAAATTTTTTGATCAATTTGACAAAATAAATTCAATATAAAAAATAAAAATACAAAAAATAGGAAAAATAAATGTTCAAATCTAACTTGAAATACTAATAAAAATGTCGGAGACAATTTTACATATAATCTTTCTCTCGGATCTTATATCACGTGAAATTACCTGGTTGGTGTCACGTGAAAGCGAACATCAGAGAAGTCAAATCGTGAGAAATTTTCTTGTTTTCAACTAGATATTCTAAACTAGACGCTAGTACCACCATTACTATTACTTGGATTGCTGCTGTTGCTGTTACTGCCGTCTTACACTTTCAAAACGTTTCCTTGAGAGGACAGTGATGTACCAATGCCTTTACAATGTCAACCAATGTTAACGAAGAAAGGAAAAGGTTAAAAGAATTATTAACGTGAGTCATTATATCATAAGCTTGTATTAATGATCGAAAGGAAAAAGCATAAAATTAATAAAAAGGTCATTTATTCAAGTGAACACATAATGATCTTGCAAGTATTAATTAAAATTTCGTCAATACATTACAAAAAAGTGAAGCTACTGAACTTGAAAAAGAATTCAAGAAACAAGAGCTACTTAAAAGACGAGCAAAAAGCGCGGAATCAGCCGCGGAATCAGAACAAGAAGCAGAGTTTTTGCGTCATAGGTATTTATGCCAAGATATCGCTTTACAAAAAATATCGCATCCATGAGTTCAATTTAATTTCTCATATACAATTAAAATAAATTAATTAATTACTACTCGTAACTAAACAACACCGATAAAAGTCTGAAAGACGTGTACGAAGACATTCTCTTGACCGATCTAAAGTTCGCCATCGAGAACAACATCGAAGAGAAACTCTGGAGAAATATTTTCTATGGTCACGTCGAAGAACTTCGGCAAAAACTGCGAAAAGTATTATATATGCTCCTTTCTTCTCTTCAAACATTTCGAATTTTAATGTTTTCTGATGTTTTAATGTATTGTCTTTTTTAAAAGATAAAATCTGAGAAGATATCGGATGATCACCAAGCGGCATACCTTGAATTATGTCGTTACCTTGACTTAGGAACTGGCTTTTATCACACTCTTATAAATAATTTAAAGATTCGGGAAAATATCGATTTAGATCGAATTGGAATTGGTAAAAATGAACATTTTCAAATTTGGTTTGTATGTATAAAATACTCCTCCAATAACTCTAATCCACTATAAAAATAAAAAGACCTGTTTAAAAAAGCAACTAACGGAGAAATCAAAAATCGCTCTCCCTCCTCGCCGACTATCTCAAAGATCCGCAAACAAGAGCTTGCAGCTGAATGTATTCAACGTTGTCTTATTTATCTTGGTGACTTTGCCCGATATCGTGAGAATGTTATTGCAGCAGCGGGTGAACGACGCTGGGAATTTGCTCGACAGTTTTATATCAAAGCAGCACGAATTGGTTGCAATTATGGTAACGATGATTTTTAAAACTATTAAATTGCTTAATAAAAAATATGGTTTATTTATTCTTTAATAAATAAATTGTTCAGGAAAAGCCCAAGGTCAATTAGCTGTTTTGGCTGCTTATAGTAACAAAGATTTGGACGTTGTTTATTGGTATTCACTTAGGTACTATGCTCTACTTTATATCAAAAATATATTTTATTGATCTACAACGTCAATTAATATAATATTTATTTTTTATAGTCTTGCAACAAAACAACCTTCTCCTATCGCCGCAGATAATCTTAAAACCTTTTACACCAAATTCCAACAATCAGAAAACACACGCGTTACTATTTCCCCTTTGTCTGTATTTACTTATTTGTGTGCATTTAATGGTATTTGGTCTGTGTGTGCTAATATTTATTTTCTAATAATCTGTAGACCTGAAGTAGACGAATTCACGAGACGTTTCTTGTCAATTCATCGTCTACTTTTAGATGAGGACATTGTTGGGTATTAAATTTTCAAAAATGGTTCATTCTTTTATCTTCTGAAACATTCGATTAACTACGTTTTTTAGTCTTAAGCAAAAGGCTGCAGAGATCGCGGAATTAAAGGATCGTTTCGAACATTTAATTAATTCGCCGTCAGACAGTAATTCTAATTTAGGCATAATCTTAAAGAAAATTATTCTTATTCTAATATTTACATATTGGGATTATCGAAATGGAGCAGGTAAGCAAGCTGGCTATACTTCAACTACAATTTGAAATGATGCTTTTTTTTCTAAAGATAAATTTCTATTTTGGAATACTCAGTTCCAGATCGTATTATCGAGTTACGTCATGCACAAATCGCAATCATTAGTATAGGAATAGGCTTTTCTATTCATGTTTTGGATCATTTGTATAACGCTTTGATGAATTTAGTAAATGGAGAAAATGAATGTTCCTTACAGAACTCGATGACAGAGTGCTTACCCGCCGTGATTCTTTGGTGCGAGTATCTTGGGTTATCGTTCGAGTCTTTTTTACAATTTTATACTTTTTCAAAGAGTGTGGAAAAAGAGGGTGATATGTTGGTTTCTCAGCTTCTGACGGTAATTCGGAATACTATTATTATTTCTTTTTTGATTACACATTCAAATACTAACTAAACCAACAAAAAATCCGTGAATATTTTCGATTAGAATCTCACGGATTTTGCCAAATCATTAGCCAAAACACTTAATCATTCCCGACTCCAAAAAATCTTGGGCGATATAACCAATCATCATCTCAACGAATTCGCACTATATTCGCTGCCGGAAGATTTGGAGTTTCTTGGAATTATCCCGTTACGACCGTTGCAGCAGAATCTGCGGTTCAATATTGGTGCAGTTAATGATCCATTTAGGACGCGAATGGCTAGACTATATAATTTTGTGAAAAGATTGACTGAATCGAAGGTGAAAGGAAAAAGAATTATATGATTTATATTATTTACTTTCTTTTGACAAAAGTATTTTCTTTGTAATTATCAGTCTTTTGAAATATTAGAGTTTAACGAAAAGATGGGACAATTTGCTTTTGTTGACGAGGAGGCCAAGGTAAGCAGAGGCAATAAAAAAATTTAAAATGAAATTATCTTGTATTTTATCGAAACATTATGTTTATAGAAAAAAGAGCGTCGACGTGTTATGCAATTGATGGCTGAACGACGCCTTCAAGAGCAAGTGACCTCACTAGAACAAAACCTTCAAAAGATGGTTGTTCCTGTACGTGTCATCTCAAAACCTTCATCGCCTGTTAAACAAAAGTTACCCACAAAACAATGCGTAATTGATATCACGGTTGTATTGAATCACTTGAAATTGGTGCGAAAATGGACATCTGAAGCTAAATGTAATGTGGTTATTCCTTTAGAAGGTAATAAAATTAAATTTCACACTTTTTATTAAGCAGGCAATATTTTATCCCGATTTTATCCGATTTTCTATTTTTTCGATGATAGTAATCGATTCGTTAGATTCAATAAAGAAAGGCGATAATCAAGAAAATGCCCGTGCACGTGAGGCAATCCGATTTCTTGATCAACAATTTCAGAAACGTCAAGATATCCCCAATGATGAACAACCCCATCAACAGTATTACGGGTCTCACTTTTTCATTCGTGCTCAGAAAGTTAATGAAAAGATTACACCTTGGGATAAAGTCGCCGAATACTATTACGAAAACATTGAAGAGGACACAGAAAATAATAATGATGAACAATCATTGGAACCTAATAATAATAAGCATAATAATCATCAAAGTAATGGAGGAAACCTTGAAGTAATGGATGTGCCAAAGAATTATCGCCCTCTTTTGAGTTGTGTTATTTATTATTATCGAGTTGCCAAAATCGAAGATGTCGTTTTGGTAACTGATGATTCTCAACTCACCAATTATGCAAAGATGTTTAAGCTTCCTGTTTGCTCTCCTTTGAGTAATAATTAGAAGAATCCCATTTTCGAAACGTGTTAACGGAAATATTATTTACATTTCAATTTAGTTTTTTCACCCGCTCCTTTCTCGCCTTACAATTCCAGTGCGCAGTACTTTTTCAATGGTTTCTAATTTAGTGATAGCTTCTAGTCCAGTCTCACCTTTAGCATTCACAATATTTATCGGGTTAATTTTTATCGATTCTTGTATTTCCCTCGTATTATTGCTGTTTGGAGGCGATAGAGGTCTCGCCGCAACAATATCAGGAATATTTGAAACAATATTCTCGTATGAGGTATGGATTGTTTGCAAGTCATCAAGATACTATTACAAATAAATATCATCAATCATCGGAATTGTTAATTACACCATATATGTATTAAAATTAAAAATTCTTTTTCACTTACACTCCGTAATCTCTTGATTTCGATATTGGATCTTCTTGCACTTGGACCTATTAAAAGATGAATGATGATTAATAATAATCAAAACTACCAAACATGTATAATCATTTCAATGTATTACCAATTGTACTGCTTTTCTCCCGCGTGTCCTTGTTATTTTTTACCCAGGGTGCAATTTCTTTATCGTAAATTTCACCGAATCTCATTAACTGTTGCTTGAGATCACCAGCAACCGTTGCAAATCGAGCGAGTGATTCCTTGTTTTTACCTTTCTCTTCTTCAAACTCGTACATATTTTGATCCTGTAATTTTTCACATGAAATGGAACGAAATTTAAAATTATTATGAACCTTAATGCAACTAAGAAATTTATATTCTGTTGGTGACTAACATTTTCTTTGAGATTACTCAGTTCATATTCAATGTGTTGAACCTCTTTCATTCTCTGTTCTTTGAGTGATTGTAACTGGTTTAAAATATCCACTTTGCTGTTAAATTCAAGATAATTTGTATTTTGATCAAGAAAAATTACTCATATATATAATTTTTGCAATTTGAATTATTATGTGTACTGACTTTTTATTTTGGGTATTTCCTCCTTTTGACCTACCACCACCGCTCAACAGCAGCGCGATGTCTTTCGGAAACAAATCATACTCGTTTGACAATATCAGAGTTAATGCACTAGGATTTGACGGGAGACCATCAAGTAGTGTAGATGACTTTGTGATCTCATCCAGATTACTATTGTTATGAGAGACTGAGATTGATAATAAGAATACACCTACATAATACAAATGAAACATTACCTTTCATTAGACACTTTAGACTCATCGTCACAAACACAAGGCATATACTTGATCATGCTCAATAGCGTTGTGTAGAAACAGATTGTGCGAGTATGGGATGCTTTTCCCTTTTTATTATTTTATACAATTTAGCTTTTGGCGGTAACGAACGAATCACACAAGTACATGATAATAAAACAATGATTTTACCTCAATTAGATCTGAATCCGTGGCTTCACATAGTCCAAGAATAGAAGCTCTTTGCGCTAGAACTGGTTTATTTTTTAAATGTATTTGTTATTTTAATCCGATAATTATTAATGCATGGTATCAATCATATAGTAGAAAAAGAACTCACGAACTTTTAGGCCTATTTACGTTACGATTATTATTGCCATGTGTTTTCCCAAGTACCGGAAAATCTTGAAGACGACGGTCTATTCTTTATTCGTATTAGAAGAAATCACATAATTCAGAATCAATGTATAACGTAATATTATTGCACAACACACGGTACTTTAATAATGCCCATTCGATAAAATCGCAAGCAACTTTTCTATCCTCCAACACTTGTTTGTAGGTGAATGGCGAATTCACTTCGACAAAGTTTTGTGTAATTTCTTCCGTCATTTTTGACGTTTCATTCGGAATTGGTTTAAATTTAAAAGATTTAGGGCGACGCGAAAAAACGCGCGTTAATGTTGCCCAATAATCCACAACTGCAAATTTAATTGGTCAGATCATAAAAAATATTACTGGCTGCGAGATAAATCAAAAAAAGTTGCCAAAATATGCTTCGTCGTGGTTTAATGATATCCAAGGACATTTTTCGTAAACGGATCTTAAGCAAAAATGTAGAGGTGATGAACATTCAGCGATATTTGGCTACAGCTAAAAGTATATTTAATTAATTCGATGTTTGAAAAATGGTTTGTTTATCATTTGTTCTCTTTAATTAATAGACGAATCATTTTAATCTCTCTAATTTTGTGTTTGAATTTGAATGCTAAAAAATGGACAGCATCACCACGAAAAACACCAACTTCTCCCCCACCATCATCTTTAACGGGAGGATACACACCACCCCCATCAATTATCGTACCCGAAAAACAATTTCCCAATCCATCACTAAAAGGCACCGACCTAATGCAACTAATCCACAGCGAGCAAATATCCCGATTCCCTATAGAACACGCAAAACTATTAAAAAAAACCGGTAAAGACCGAATAATTCCTGGTGACGTGCTCCTCGTCGAAAGCTACACAAACCGCACGAATCTCTCGTCAGTATCAACGTTCGCCGGTATCTGTATTGCGATTAGACGGCGCGGGATAGAGACCAGTTTTACGTTGCGGAACGTGATTTTAAAAGTTGGTGTCGAGCAGCGATTTGCTGCATTTTCGCCAATGATTAAGAGTATAAAGATTTTAGCCAGGGGTGAAGGGTATCGACGTGCGAAATTGTATTATTTGAGAGATCAGCCGGGTAAGGCGTTTAAGATTGCTTCGATGATTAAAAAGCTTAAAGCGGCGCAGCAGAAAACAAATAACTAGGAAACATGTAAAAGTATTGTTGCTTGTATGTGATCAGCGGTTATTGTTCATTATTTATAAATAAATTCGAATTCATTGAATATAATAACACTGTGTACCAGATTAATTTTTCTAAAAATCAATATCGATATACAGTCAATAATCTTCCATGTCTCACTTTTAAGAGAGTGATATCTATTTAAGTATGGTATGATTGAGCATTTTGGTATGGTATGGTTAGAGTTATGGTTAAGTATGAACTCAGAGAATAGTTTAACTTAATTGATAATTTTTTATAATTATTATTATTATTTACTAAGATTGCTACTTTAGCTTACTAATATTTAAAGATGGATCCCTAAACTATCCTGAAGGGACATAACTATAACCTAAACTAGTTTTAACTATGTTCCTAAACTATGTCATCAGTTTCGAGATCTCTCTTTACTAATATTACTGGGTTTGCTTATTAATATTACTAGCTTTGCTTGCTAATATTACTAGATTTACTTGCTAATATTACTAGTTTTATTTGCTAATATTGCTAGTTTTGCTTGCTAATATTATTATTTTACTTGCTAATATTGTTATTTTTTTGAAAATAATATTTAATAAAATTAAGCAATTAACAAAAAATTATAAAATTGCACATGTAATTTTATTAATAAAACATTATAAAAATTGAAATTTTTGCCTATATAAATATTTTTATATTTAAAATAAAGATTATAATTTATATTTTAACATATATTTTTCTGGATTTTTTAAATTTAACCTGATAAAGTTAATCTAATTACAAAGTTGTTATAAAAATTTTTATAATTAAATTTATATTTTAATTATAAAAAATTTTTATAATAATTATATAATTAAAATAATTTTGCAATTAAAATAACTTTGTCAAATTAAATCTAAAAAATCAAGAAAAAATATATAATAAAATATAAATTATAATTTTTTTTTGATATAAAAATAAAAAATATTTATTAATTAAATTAAAAACTTTTATATTTATAATTTTGTTAATTATTATATTATATTTATTATTATTATTATAACTAATATAAATTATATAATTAATCTTGTAATTATAAAAAAATATGTTATAAAATTTTATATATAATAATAATTAAAAATAATATAATACAAAAAAATTTATTAATAAATATAAAAAATATGAGTTTTTTCTTTATATAAAAGTTTTTAATTTTACTAATAAATATTAGTTTTATATCAAAATAAAAATAATATTACATATTTTAACATATTATTTAGATTTAATCTGACAAAGTTGTTCTAATTGCATATAAAGTCAATACTTTTTTATATATTTTTATATTTTTATATATTTTTATTATTAAAAAATTATTAACTTTATATACAATTAAAACAACTTTGTCAAATTAAATCTAAAAAATCTAAAAAAAATATATGTCAAAATATATAATATTATCTTCATTTTAATGTAAAAATAAAATATTTATTAATAAAATTAAAAACTTTTATATAAAGAAAAGACTTATATTTCTCACATTTTTATTATATTTATTAATAAATTTTTTTGTACTGCATTATTACTATATATATTATATTATAATTATATTTTTTCAAGAATTAGCTATAATAAAATTTCTTTATAATTATATTTACAAAAAAAATTAATTATACTTGAAATTTTAATATAATAAATAATATAATAAAAATTTAATTAAATTTCTTGATAATTTAAACATATTTTTTATAATTTAAAAACCAAATTTAATTAAGATTATTTTACAAAATTTATTATTATACTTTATACTTAACAAATCTGTTATAAAAAATAATTGATTTTATATATGCAAGTTAATATAACAAACTCTTAATTTCAAGATCATTAATTTAGTCATTAAAATTTTTAAAAAATTGCATTATGAATCTTAATTTATTTATTTTGCAAAAAATAATTGATTTTATTAAAAAAATCGAACTAAATTAAAGTTTAAATTTCTATAGTATATTAAAATAATAATATTCTATTTTTTGTTTTAAATAAAATTGTTCGTTATATTACAAAAAGCATGCTTTATAATTCAAAAATATTTTTAATTTGTTTGTCATATCAAAGATCAATAAAAAAATCAGTTGTGATCTGAATTTAAAATTTATAAAAGAAAAGTATATTGATGTTGTATTCCAAGTGTCATTCAATCCTAAATCTGAACAGCCTAAATTTTAGGCAATCATTTTGTATTAACTTTAATTAAAATAATTGAATAAATATGATGCTGTAAAAAGTTAATTTTTATTCATACAATGATCTAACTAAACCTGTATTGGTTTCTATAACGATAATTCAATTTATAAAATATTTTTTTCGAATATTGAACAAAAATGAATCAAAATGCCAGGTTTCAATATTGTTTATTAGATTCCAATTTGGATACTATCATTAATTCACGAGATATGATGTAAAATGTAATTTTTTTTGAAATTATACAGATGTGTGATTTTTACATTTTACATCATATCTCGTGAATTAATGTATAAAACTTTCTGAAAATTTAATAGTATCTGAATTGGGATTCAATAAACATGATTTATTATCAGCATGAAGTATGTTGAAAACTGGCATTATGGTTAAATTTTTGTTCAAAATTCGCGAGAAATATTTAAATTTGGATTATCTTTCAAACCTGTTTGTGTTCAAAATTTTAGTATAGAAACCAATATGATGAAAAAGTTTAGTTAGTACGCAAAGGTCATTGTATGAATAAAAAATTAACTTTCCATAGCAATTATTTTCAATTAGAATCTGGAATACTACAGCAAACTTTGATTCGTACCCGGGGGGGGGTCAAGGGAGTCGCGGTAGAATTTTTCCTATATATCAAAGTCGGACTGTCAATTTTAAATACAGGCTGCAAATTACCGTAAAACGCCGTTTAAAAGTACCCCTCTGACTTTTGCAAGTGATGTTGTGCAGTACTTACCCCGGTACCTTAAATGGTATTTTACGGTAGTTATTTAAAACAAGGGATATCGATATGCACTAAAATGCACATATTCACATAAACGAAAAAAGGTAATGATCACCGGATCAAAGTTCTACGTAAAGGCAAGAAAGAAAAAGATATCGATATACAAATGTATGGGGGACACGAGACATAGCATAGCTTTTAAAAAAATAATGGTTCATACATTGAAATCAGGAGCTCTTGCCATATTTAGCATGAATGAATTAATAGTAATTGTTAAATTCAAGTTTTCTTTGACATGTCGTTATCACCACCGCCACCAACTTTACCAACACCCCTTAATATGTTACTCTAACTTGCATAGATATTGTTTGTTTATATGTGTATGAGATCTGATTTTGACAAATAAAGTAGTATGCGCATAATCGAAAGTGCGTCTATGTGAAAAGCGTGTGATGTGAGAGGGTTTGGTGATAACTTAAAAGCTTTTTATGTTGCCTAGCGATCAGAGTAATTGATAGACGCGACAGCTTTAGCTTCGAAAAAAAAAACTCACTAACACTAACACTTAATAATCAAGAAGCAGATTCTAGAGTGAATGGTTTAAGTTCCAACGATCGTGCATTGACCATTCATCCTTCGTCGAAGAAATTATAAATCACATAGGCCGGTTTTATTAAAATTAGTGTTCCCGCGCAAAAAATATTTAAAAACCATTATTTTTTGCTGGCTTAGGTTATTGCTAAATATTATTGTCAATGAGGGAATAATATTTTTCGTGTTCCTGCAGCAAACTAAAAAACAAACCTTATTGATTGGTCCTTTATAGTCACTATGTTAGGTTACCTTTGTCCATAAATAAATGCTATCAAATCTGCGCCACACGCGATTAATCCAACACCATACAGAACACTTGTATTCACGTTCACATATACTTCTTGCGATCCAAATATTACACGGAACGAAGAGTCCCGTCCAACGAAAAACTTCGTTAATGTAAATTCTTCGTTAAAATGGACTCTATTATTAATAAAGGATTTGTCAAATCTCTTTTATATTATTCATTCAAGTGTACCTTTACTGTCTTACTTTATAATCACATTTCTTATCGTTATCATCCAATTTGATTTTTCCGAGAAAGGTAACTATAAAGAGATTTATTAACATTAGTTATTGATTTATTCAAAATGTGTTTGATGTTTTCATAATATTTATATAATTTATTGTGAGTAAAAGAAAATTTATACACTATTTGACTATAATTAAAAAGATAGTAATATATTGCAATTTTATCACAAATTTCATTATTAGTACAATGAGATAAAGAAATATATTTTTTAATAATTAGTATTTTTTATATAGTTGATGGTTCGAGTAAAATAATTTATTTCTATGCCACCGATTCTTAATGCACATAAAAAATAAGTTAGTAAAGTAATAATAATGCTTTAACGCCTTGGCCATAACTGTAATCCCCTAATCAATTCAATTAGAGAATACTGTACCTCTTCTTTAATACAATCAGTATAACTACTACGCTAAAAAAGCTGGAATTTTGCTTGACGTATAATAAATTACACAAAAGAAAAACAAACAGTACAGTACTATCTACTTCCCCTCAATCGATTATATAATTGCATGCTTTAATATAAACAATCTTTTATTAATAGTAGCAGAAAGACCATAGCTCTGGTAACCAAAAACTCACATCAAAGTAAATCGTCTTTGACAGAATTAATAAAGCATCATTCCATTATTCATAAAAGTAAGGTAACAAGAAGCAGGAGTACTTATAAAATGAAGTAATAATAGCACCATTTAACATGGAACATCCAACAACCACCATTATTACATGTACACGTACCAGGATGATTGACATGTATAGGTATGCAGAGTGCGTAATATGGAAATACACGAAATATTTTACATACACTTTCTTCGTATATACGTAATTTTGAACGTAATCATTTTAAATTTTTCCTTTTTATTCGATAATAATAATAATTAATTAGATATCGATATGAGTTGTCGGAAAAAACTAATTAATTAGTTACACGCCGGCGAATTTGGTTTGTACATCATACATTACATTTTACACTACATATTTAGCTGTTGCTGATTACTGTTGTATCTCTCCGATATCGAACAAAATAAAAATAAAATAGAAAAATGATCGGAGTAACGCTTTTTTTAATAACTTTTTTTGTTCTCTCCCGAACCAATAATATCTCATTCCCATTCTTTACGTGACAATTGCGAATTATACTACAACAAACATATACACAGCAATTGCACATTTAGAGTAGATAGAGTCTACTTGCATAAAAACTTTTACTGCTGCTGTTGTTGCTGATATAAGAAAAAAAATCCATTCCATTGTCAATCAAACATCTATAGTAACCAAAAAAAAATACATACACACGCCCGAGCTAACGACATACTCAAAAGGGGCTAATCAAAAAAAATCTGGTAAACTGGGTTGCTTCTCTTCTTTTTCTTTTATTTATACAATCTTTCCCGATAATCCTCAGATTATTCCCTTTATTCCATCCTCCTCTCGCTTTCCTCCTTTCGCTTGCGAGTGTAAATTCTGTCTTTTGTTAACTTTTTTTCGCTAACGACCTCGGGACCTCTATTATTATTGGTTTTCCTTCCTTATTATTGACCATTTTCTAACCATTCGACCTCACGCACTCAAATAACCACTTTTCTTTGCAGCTTCAATTCACCGATACATATATACGTATATAATGCCTACACAATTAGACCACCTAGCAACGGAATTACTACTGAAAATCTTCACTTTTCTTGATAGACCACAAGCATTTTCGCTTTCTTGTCGAAAGCTCCACTACATTACCAAAGACCCTCACGCAAGAGCAGACTACTTCCTGCGAAAATATGGCCCAAGGTTGGCCATCTTTTATTCAATAAAAAATCATGCTAAAATAGTCAACAAAGCAACAGCCGAGGCATTGATATCGTCGGGTGCTATAGTGTCGCGAAATCTGGCACAGCGACTGGTGAAAGACTATCTTGAGCGGCAACCCAACGAATATTTTAGGTGCTGTTGGACAAGTAAGTTATCCTTTGGAACTTACTTGGTCTTTTTAAATAAAGCGTATGAGCTATATGGCGATAACCTATGGGCAAAGGACGCAATGGATGATTGGGAACAGTTCAGGATTTGCGTCTCTTTGTTGAGTGGAGTAGACTTCGATCTTGTTGACCAACCAAACAATACTAGTGACTCTAATCGTGATTATATAAAAGAACTAGTAAATCGGTACCAAGTGGTGCCTCTACCTCTCCAGTACTGTTATGCTGCTATCTCGGATACCTTTGTCACAACCACACGTCTTGGAGATCAACAATTATTAGACATGGCACTATACGACCTATCGAAATTCGATCATTATGAGTTTGTCAATATAGTTCCGACCATTATCGAAAAGCTCATATATAACAAGCCCACCCCCCAGCATCTTAAAAAACCATTGGATAACTTGTTCTCATACAAGTATCGAATTCTCGAAGAATTGGCATTGGAACTAATTCGGAATTGTGGCCTCTATAACGTACCAAATATAATTTTGGAAACGTTAATCGAACGACGCGATTCACTGCCGTTCGACCTGAATCAAGTGGTCATTCGAGCAATCAATGACAAATTCCATTCTATTTATATGTATAACGGAGCACCGGATAATATCGAGGCTCTGTACCACTATTTCCCGGAATTCCGTGATCAAATACGGGACAACTTGATCACACTGTTCTCCAATACTCATTATGGAGGTATCGTGTGCAATCGAAATGATGCCAGTTACTACGGGTATGGTGTGGGTTGTGTAGCCATGGGATTTATACTCAGTAAATTTGGACCAAATGATCAGGTGACCGAGCTTTGCTTTGACGCGATCGTGCGTGATGTTATTGACAAAGATGCCAAATCAACTAATAGTCAAAGAAACAGCTTTATTGGATCAAGAAATGCCAGTTATAATAATTCTGGTCGTAATAACAACAATAATGCATCTGTGGATGGTACAACTCCATTAAAAGGATCACCCGAGTTTTTCATTAAATATATTGAAGCTGGTGTCAGAGTTCGACCCGAACATCTAAAGATGGTAGTAGAAAAGGGGATGAAAAGAAAATGGTTTCTAAAAGAACTGTTTGTGGCACTAGAGAAAATGTTAAAAGGAGAAAAAACTGTAGAAGCTTATCATCACGGTAGATCTAGAACATCCTCGGATCTTAGTAAAGTGGCTCCTTCAAATCTTAATGCCATGACGATGACAATTGGTGCTTTACCTGAAGGAAAGCACCAACTACAACAGAACCAACACGAATCATCATTAGAAGATAAGAAAGCATTATGGCGTAAGACTATCGAAGAAGTTCTTGACCAAGAGCGGGAAAGTCGAACCGCTAAACAGTGGTCCACAAAGTCGCGACTATATCGAATGTTGGAAGAGTTGTATAAGCGACATTTTCGATGAGATTGATCTAAAAAAAAATTGTGGACATTTTTGTTTTGTATAATAGATAAAAATAAAGGTACACTCTCAAAAAAGATCTTTGGCGAATGAAAACCAATTATCGTTATTATTATAATAATATTACACGTGCCAAACAAAGATCGTAAACCTTTTTTTTTGAGGGTGAATGTTCTTTTGTATTTTTATTTTTATTTGTATTATTTATTATCATTAGTATTAATATTATTATCTATTTGGTTTTTACTCGCAATGAGTTTGTACTTTTAAAAATAATTGTATTTCGCCAAAAAATTTTTTACCTTTTTTTTTTGTCTTCATTATGGCAACCTCATCACTAACCACCAACAGTAAAAAACTCTTCTTTCGAAACCCGAAGGAAACCAATGTTCTCCATCACCATTTAAATTAATCAACTTTCATTTATATGTGTATGTGTTGTTAAAAAGCAACCCTTTAATCCATCCCTCTTCATATCATCACTACTTTCTACTAAGACAACACATACAAAACACTTACCTCAATCAACTTTCCTATTCTATTATATTTATTTAATTTCTAAATATTATTTGACGACAATTTTCTATAACGTGTGGGTAAAAAAAGCTTTTTTTTTCCTTTTATCACAAACATTATCCCTTACGAAACACGCAAAAATGGTTTAAAGATATGAATCCGAAAAGCTTTTTACACAAACACATTACCAACATCCTCCTCCACCATCAACCATAAAACACATACGGATCGCAATTATATTATTTTAACCCATTACATACATCAAAACTCGAGACCTTAATTAATTGTGGATGTATAATTAGATATGGAGGTAGTTGGTGATTTATTTGTGGAAGAAGCACATCCCGTTTATTTCGAAGGTTATTTTTATTTTATTTTATTTTACGATTTTTTATCTGAGAAAAGTTGGGTAAAAAAGAATTATGGATATAGGGAAAATTTTAAAAGCTCTTTTATAGTGTTACATTCATATCCTTCAATAGGGGAAAACAATGCGTTTGATCTCAGTTGTTTTATTTAAATCTAATTCCCTTGTATTTTCTCTCCAAATTCTTAAAATCCCTTCTTTTTTCTCGAATCTTTGTCCTAATTCGTTTTTTTTTTTTGGTATCAATTTCTTCGTGTAAATATTATATTAGATATAATAATATAATATCAAATGTTGTCAGGTATATGTAGCTTGCATTCCTCGCTTGATATGTATATTCTTTCATACCCCAACTTTCGTAATTTTCGATTTTTGAATTGAATCCGAATCCGCAATTGAATTGAATTGAATTTGTTACAACATATATATATATTGTACATTTTTTGCATGATCCTCTTTATTAATAAATATTGTAAATTGAATTGAATTGAATTTAAATTGGTGTTTTTTGATTTTGCAAAGTGAAAAATATTATTGCAGTTAGTGTTCCTATGAACTGAACCGAACCGGACTTTTGCCTGAGTTCGAGTTCGGTTCGAAATTCGAACCGAACTCGAACCGGACTTTGGCTTGAGTTCAAGAAAGGTTCGAAGTTCG